GCCTGCTGCTGGCCAGCGCCTCCCCAGCGGCTCTCCTTCCTGTCTGTGACCCCATTCTCTTACCCTCGCATTTCTCCTCCACCCAGAAGCGGTCATCTCTTCCTTCCCAGCTGACTCCTCTCTGGACGCCCTCCGCTTTCCACTGACTTTATTTTTCTGTTTCCAAATCACGGTACTGTGATGACTGCGTGCCTTGCAGAAGCTGAACCAGAGGCGTGACATCTCCTCCTGGCTGGTAAGCACCCCCCGTTTCCCCTTCTCTCTGCCCAAGCTCCCCAGGCCCCCCAGGTAGAGACCAGCGAAGGGAACCGGGAAGGGTCAGCCCTGCTTTCTAGACTCCAGCCTGCGGTTGCCTTGCCTGTAGCCACCTCCTGATGACTCAGGGGAGGCAGGCTGGACCAGAGGGCGCAGGGCAGGGAGCCAGCGATGCCTGATAAACCCAGCCCCAGGTGCCGTTGGCCGGCTTAGGCTGGCAGGATCCCCGCCCTCCCCTCCCAGCACCAGGTGGAGCCAGGGTTTTGAGAGAAAGCAGCTGGGTCTCCAAACCTGCATGCCTATCTGGAGCTCAGGGTACTTAGTGTGTCTTGGTGGGGTAGGCGGGGTGGGGGGTGGGGCGGGAAGGTCCTTGCTGGGTGTCATCCGAGGAAGCCTGCCACAAGCCAGGCCAGTGAGACACCGGCCGCCATAGGACCAAAGTGCTTCCAGGACCTGGGCTGACCCCAAGCCCCTCATCTTCCCTGCCACAGGCCAAATGGTTCCCCAAAGCCCCAGCCAAGTCTGTGGTGGCCCTGAAAACACCCATCAAGGTGGAGCTAGTGGCAGGGAAAACCTACAGGTGGTGTGTGTGTGGCCGCAGCAAGAAGCAGGTGAGAGACCCTACCCCCTCCCATTGACATCCGACACCCCTGGCTGGGAAAGCAGGGTGTGTCTGAGAGCGCCCTCTCAAGAAAAAAAATACTCAGGCTGGCGCACCCATCGCCTTGAGCTCTGTCTGTATCAACCCTCTGAGATGAGTCCGGAGACACAGAAACTCAGTCACACAGCCAGGCGGGTGGAACCCAGGGTTCTGGTTTCTGTGGTTTTAAATCTATTTATTTTTATTTTAGATTTTAAAAATCTTGGTTGTTGAAAGTATTTTTTAAAATATATTTTATTGATTTTTTACAGAGAGAAAGGGAGAGGGATAGAGAGCTAGAAACATCGATCAGCTGCCTCCTGCCCACTCCCTAGGGATGTGCC